GCAAAAGCCCCCAAACTACTTTTTGTTCTTTTTTCAGAGTTACTTTAGCAATCCTCCCCCCCACCCCCTTCATAGTTTTGCCACTCAAGGGATGGCCTAGGCTGTCCTTATAAACAGTGTGTCCACCTCCACTACCTGTTCTTGACTTCTTGGTGGAAGCCTCTGAAAGTGAGAGGGAGGAACTTTTACACTACATTATCCCTGGGTTTGGAAGGGAAAGAGCACTCATTATCAAAATCTAGATGGAGAGAAGCAACAGATGGTTGACTAGTAACCAGTCAGGAGACAGGTTAACAGGCCAGGCCAAGTAACAGTGCTCGGTAGCACACATATGAGGCTTCTTCAGCTAAATTGTTCTTGTAAGGAGCTCTGTGTGGATTGTTCTCATTCCAGGAAAAGGCATTATATTCCTTGATAAGGAACTGCACTGTCAACTTGAAGGTTTGGATCCACTAATTGTTTCAGGGGTGCAAGACGAGTAGTCTTCTGAAAGATTTACTGCCTCTGAAAATCTTTTGGAGGGCCAGCTATGAGTTGGTTCTGACTCAATGGCACTCAACAACACCAACAAATAGTTCTTTTAGTACAGAGCATTCGCTATTTGTAAGATAGGCCTCCAGTAGAGAAAGAAGAGGCCATAATTCACACTTTACAATGAACTGGGACAATTATTCTGAGCGGAATTGTATCATGGAAATAAATGGACATTGTTAAGGAAATGAATTTTTTTTGAAAGCAAAAGAAAGGTGATTTCTTAGTCCAGAGTAATTTGAGCTGTGGAGAGAGAGAGCTTAGGGAGGGTGTTGTTGAGAATTCAGGATAGTCTGAATGGATGTCTGTAAACCTGCAAAAATGAGTATTGGGTACAAAGGTGAGAAATGTGTCAAGACAAACAGCTTTTTAAAAGGACAGTATTGATCACCTATGAGAAACAGCCCAAAAGAGAGAAGGATTTCCCTCTAGGGAAGACACAAGGAGAAAGCCTTCCACCAGTTGTCACCATAGTTTTGAACTTTGGACTTCCTAAATTGTGAAAAAATAGACTTACATTTGATAAAGCAAAAAGCAAAACAAACAAACAAAAAAAAAAAAACCCCACCCCACACAAAAATGCTGTATTTGCAGAATCATTTTCTAATCCAAGGAGTTGGAGGAACTCTGTCTTTTTCCTCTGTACCTAGAACCCAGAATAAATACTTTCAAGTCTCTTGGGCAACAGAACCGAGACTGAAGCCAATGCAATCAATATTACACAATTTTGTTGTTGTTTTTATGTGTCATCAAGGACAACCCATAGTGACCCTATAAACCACAAATCTGAACCCTGTTTCACTTTCTGCTGTCCTCATCATTTCTGACACATTTTCACCCATTGCTGCAATCACTATATAACCCATCTCATCAAGGGTCTTCCTTTCTTTTGTCTACTCCCCACCTTCCTAAGTAAAATGCCCCTTTTCAAAGAATAGTTTCTCCCAGTAACATGTGGGAGAAAGGTGGGAAATCTCCTTCTGTGTGATTTACTGACTCTGAAAACACACTGGAGGGTCAGCTATGGGTTGGTTCTGACTCAAAAGCACTTCACAACAACATGCCCAAAGTATGTGAGACCACATTTTGTCATTTTGCTTCCAAAGAGTATCCTGATTACATTTCCTCTGAGATATCCCTTTGATCTTTTGGCCATCCATGGATGGATATTAAGTACACTTCTCCAAGTCCACATGTTAAAGGTATTGTCTGCTTCTGCCATCCTGATGCATTGTCCAGCTTTCAGATGCACAACAAATGACTGAAGATCATGGCCTGAATCTGGTGCACCTTAGTCTTCAAACTGATATCATTGCTCCTGAATAATTTGGAGAGGTCTCAAACTGCAGATTTTCCCAGTGTAATGTGTCTCTTTACTTCCTGAATGCTGGTACCAAGGGTATTAATTGTGAATCCAAGCAAGACGAAGCTGTTGACAATTTCAATCTCCTCTCCAACCACCATGATGTTGCCTATCAGTCCAGTGGTAAGAATCTTTGTTTTCTTGACTTGGCATAATTATTCTGAGGTAAATGGACTTTGGTGGGTTAGTCATCCTTTAGAGCATTCTGGGGGCGGGGGGAGGGTCATAACCCCAGGCAACTGTACTGTTAACCTAAAGACCACACATCTCTGGTGGTTTTGAATCTACTAGCTGCTCTGTGGGAGAAGGACGGGCAATGTCCACCCATGCTATTTATAGGAACCGGATGGAAGGTCAGCTATGAGTCAGTTCCCACTGGGAGGCAAGGAGTTGAGTCATCATTTAGGGTAGGACTGGTGTTGTAGTCCACTGTGAATTGTATTACTGTTGTGCCTTCTGATAGACAGAATCCATCAGAAGAAAGGTGGGCGAGCAGTCCCTTCCCTTTGTAGTTTACAGCCTGGAAAAGCAGGAGGCGGCTCACTAGGAACCAGGCATCATTTATAACATCGTAGAAGGATGGGTTGGGGGAGAGGGGATGGTTAATCACTGGGTCTTACAATTTGATTTGTGTGTGTGTGTGTGTAAAGGAAATGGGAAAGTTCCTGTGTGAAAAATAATGTATTCAAGAAGAGTGAACTGGGGGGTGGGGGAAGGGGCGAACAGGGAGAAACATGCAACAATGAATGAATGGAAATCCTAAGTCTCTGTACACTTTCACTAAAATTAATTTAAAAAAACCCTGAAAAATACAAACAATATATTCAAACTTTATAATAAACCAGTTGAAATAATAAAAAAAAAGATGTATTTGAGGATCCAAGAAGTTCTCCCAGTGTTCCAAAATACATGTTTCAATAGCATTCAAGAATATCTCCACTTATTTTGCTTAACTGGCTTTGTTTAAAGATTACTTATGAATAACTGTTGCAGCATAAAATACCAACACATTTTAGAAAACACTGTAAAATAAAAGTTAAAGGGAAAGCACAGAGCCTAACACTATCATTTGCTTTTTAACATTCTAGTGGGAAACTCTTTTGGAGGAAGAAATAACTAAGAGTAACTTACAAACAATGATAATGACAATAAAATCCCAGAGCTCAGCAGTTGCTTTTGATTCTTAATGACACTACAGAAAACACAGCCTCATAGGGTTTCAAGGCTGTAAACATGTACAACCACTGAGACGGCTACATCTTTTCCTGCAGAGCAGCTGGTGGGTTCAAACCGCCAGCTTTTCCGTTACCAGCCAAGTACTTACCCTTAGTAACTAGTAATGAGGAGGACTGTCATTTCCTAAACGACTAACTGCTGCTGTTGTTGTGTACCATCGAGTTGGAATCGACCAATGGCTGACCCAATGGTGGGTTTTCAGAGGCTGTTAATCGCATGGGAGGAGATTGCCCATCCTTCTGTGGAGCCATCTGTGTATTTGAACCGTGTGCTTCTGGGATTGCAGCACAGCTTCTTATCTCTAGGCCACTCCAGCCCCCTAAATGACTAATGGTACTAATTATCAGTTAGCACTGATTACTTTTGCTGTTAGGTGCAGTCAAGTTGGTTCCTACTCACAGAGACCAGACGCATAACAAAATTAAACACTATCCAGAAGTCCTTGCCAAGCTCACATTGACTGTTCTATTTCAGCCCACTGTTGCAGCTACCGTGTGAAACATCCCAAGGAGGGCCTTCCTCTTCATTTGACGACCTGCTACTTTATCAAGTGTGGTTTCCTTCTGTAGGGATTGATCTCCTGACAACATGTCCAAAGTATATGTCTTCTCGCCTCTGCTTCTCAGGAACATTCTGGCTGTACTTCCTCCAAAATAGATATGTGTGTTCATGGTATTCTTGCCAACATCCCATAATTCAAAGACACAAACTCTTCTTTGTCGTCGTTAGGTGCCAGTGAGCCCCCTAGGACTCAGAGCACCTCTACGAACAACAGACTGGCATCTTGCCTTCTTCTGTGCCATTCTTTGCTGGCTTCCTCATTCAGTGTCTAGTTTTCACAGCCTACAAAAAGTGTGAAAGTACTATGGGCTGGGCCAGGCACGTCGTAGTTGTTAGAGGAACATCTTTCCTTTATGAATACATTGAGGAGGTCTTGGAGACTAAGTGCTCAATTTACTATATCATTTGCTTTTTTAACTGCTGCTAGGTGTCTGACATTGTTAATCACGAATGTTAAGTAAGAACGCACAGAATGTGAATATGTAGTCACCATTTCTTTGCTATGGAAATATACTGTTGGAGTAACTCTTTTAACAAATGTGTCCCTGCCAGATGCAAAGCACTGTGTTCCTATCTTTTACTCATTTGACTGAAAACAAAACTCAATATAACAAAACAAACAAAAACAAAGCAAAACGATAGAGCCGGGTATCTGGGATTTTTCCAAATACTTTAAACGTCTTTGACTGCATTTAGTCTATATATGTCTAATAAATACAAGAGTGGGTATGATCAAATAGATCTTTATTGCCCGCAAGCTTTTACACTTACAAGAATGTGGTACGTTGATGGCAGGATACTTACTACCCCACACCTTGGAATTCCTTACACGTGAAAGAAGAAATGTTCAGAATGGAACAAGACACGAGCCCATGTGGGAAGTCTAGACTCTATTGGGTCTGGTGGTCCTTTTAAGGCCAAAAATACACCTGCAGACCAATTCAGGGTACTAAGAACAAGGTTAAACTTTTTGTACACATCACAACAATGGTAAATCAACTACAAAATAAAGCCTGCACAGAAATTATAAATCAGAAGGTACACACAACCATTTTAACAAAGATACGCTAAGGATTGGCAGAGTGAATTCTCACAATGTTGGATTATGAGAAACACGTATTTTACATACAGGACAGTACTTCGATATGATTACAAGAAAAAGAAAATTCAATCTCACGAAAAGAAAAGTTTATGTTGAATCACAGAACCAAATTAAGCTTATTTTAGGTCAAGCTACCCAATGGAGGATGACCTCACCATTAAAAAAAAAAAAAAACCAACCAACCAACACCAAAAAAAACAAATACTTGGCATTTCCCACTTTGCTTCTAGTTTTAATTTTTTTTTTAAAGTGGAATGAAATACAAGCATTTACATATGGTCAAAACAATGAATAGAATTACAAAGACAGGGTACAAAATCAACAATGGCAAGGACCTGCCACCCACTGGGCATGATCATCCTTCTTCTTCTTCTTCATCACTGTCTTTCATTGTAATGCCCTGAAGTCCTCCTCCTTCGGAGACAGAGGCGGTGGCCTCTTCCACAGTCAGTCGTCTGTGGAGAGTGTCATACGTCTTACTGTTCAGTGTTCCTTCCAGCACACCCTGCAATCGGAAGTCCCGATATGTTTTCTGGGGGAAGAAGAGAGTTTACTTAAAGTATGTACAGATGTAAGTATGTATATATAAGTATACATCTGCATACATGTATAAGTACTCAGTTGACATTTCAAAAGTGACCTTGGTTTTATTTACTGCAACTGTTCACTTATGGATTCAGATTCATGCTGCAAAATACAGTACATTTTACAAAATACACAATTTCTAAAGAGAGGTGCATGGGAGGTAAAGGATAAATCCTATTATCAATAAAAGAAATTAGTATTTTTCAGCATTTGTGAATTACAAAATCTATTTGTGCCACTGGGTAAAAAAATGTGTACAATTAGATGTTGAGATGAATAATAAATTTTTAAAAGAAAATTCCCTTGGTATGTTGTCAATTCTAGCATAAAGTTCCCCCACCTGGGATAATAAAACACATTATTTACAAAATAAAACCCCAAAACACCGAAAAAACAAAACACATATTTACAACTGTTTTTTAAAACCTATTCTATGCCCAAATAGAACACATCTCTTATTATTATTATATGTTGATTCCTAAAATATATTAAGACAAAACATTTCTACAAAGCAAAAAGGTCCACAGCACTTGCGGTAGCGCTCATTCCTTGAATTGGAACCCACTCAGAGAAGACCGTTCAGCGGGTTTTTTAGGCTATAAATTGCATGGGAAAGATTTTCTTTCTTTTTCCCTCAGAACCAGTGATGGATTCAAATCACCAGAGAGGAGCTGCCTTTGTGGTGTTGTTATTGTTATGTACCATCAGGTCGGAACTGACACATAGCTGATCCTCCTGCGGTTTTTTATAGGCAGTAAATCACATGGGGGGGGTGGCGGCGGGGGAGACTGCCCATTCTTTCTCTCACAGAGCAGCTAATGGATTTGAACCATGTGCTTTGAGGATGGCAGATCAGTTTACTACCAGCAGGCCACCGGAGTTGCCTGTGGCTGAGTTACGCAAATCCCTACGGGCTACCCCGCCAGAACTCCCCAGAAGCATATTACCTATAAAACTCTCTTTATATTTATAGAATTCATTTGTATATTCATTTTTAAAGATGCAATGATTTCATATGACTTTTCATGACTATTTAAGACTGATGGTCTTATTACTGACTTTTTCAAACTGGAGGGGAAAGGTTTAGAATTAGAGAAATGAAGAAACAGGGAACAAAAGAAGACATGCTATTTTCTGGCGGCAATGCTACCATTATAATGCTAAACTTTTCTAATGTCTTCTGTTAGATTCAGAATCTGGAGGAGTTACATTTCAATGGACTAAATGTGCCAGTCGTAGCAGTTAGCCAGGGTTCTGTAGTAAATGAGTGCTGGTGGTCATGTTGCCTGTCTGCACTTAATACAGGGAAAAAGTCAAATACGAAGAAAGGAATCTCGTCCTTCATGGCCCAATATCACAACTCCAATAGCTGGAAATTAACATTAAGGGATGCTTGATTTCACTGCACTCCATAGAAGGAAAACATCGTGTTGAGACATTGGAGCTGAAGATGCTTATTCACATGAGAGGGGAAGTGTGAACGGAGAGTATCTCAGTCCCCTCCATGTGCACACCTGGCCTTCACTGACAGACTTAGGGGGTGAGGTAGAATTACTACAAGTGCTAATATTAATGGGGAAGCATTTGTATTGTCACATTTTACCATTCTGTTTCCTTCCACCTGGCTGTGTGCATGGTTATCATTCCAAGTTTGAGAAGTGATAAATCAATAGTAAAAATGAATCACAAATACATCTTTAACATTTAGATACTCATTTGATGGAAATAAAATTTGTAACTGAAAATTTGTAATAATCTGGGTTTTCCCCACTATTTGTCTAAAAACATACTGAACTCTGAAGAATATGAAAACACACCTAAGGTCATAAACAGCATATAAATTTTAGATTCAAGCACTACTTCTCCTTTAGATGATCAAAGCTTTACTGACACAAATTTTAACAGTTTGTTTCAGGAACATACAATCCATTTGGCTCACATGATTTTTTATGAATTCTTAAGCTTTTGCCTCTAAGGTGGGTGGGACTGAGGAAAACCAAGAAAATAAAATAATTATAAATATGTTTTTATTGTTGTGTGGCATCAAGTCGGAACCAACCCACAGCTGACCCTCCAGCAAGTTTTCAGAGGTGATTAATTGCACGGGAGGAGATAGTCATTCTTCTCATGAGAACTACAACAAATCCAATAACTCAAGGTTATCTTCATGAAACCCTGTGACTGAAGTGACTCTGGAAAGTGAATTTTGTGTAGAGAATACCTGACGTCCATGGTAATGGTCTTACCACCGACACATTTGTGTTCAGGCCAATAGTTAGATCAAACTATAGTTAGACTAAACATCTTGTGTTTAGATTAAAAAAAAATATCAAGCACATAAAAAATCTACCTAAAGATGACACATCTTATATAAAGTATTATTGGCCCACTCACAATTATATAGAGTTCATGAGTTATAAGGAACTCCAGTGATACTATTGTTAAGGCATTTGACTGGTTTTTTTTAAAAAAATCTGTGGTTTAAACTTAAGGGAGAAAGGTGAAGTGGTGTTCTTCTGTAAAGATTTGGAAAGCCTAAGGGAACTCTGATGGCCTAGTGGTAAGAAGCTGTACTGTAATCTCGAAGCTGTGTGGTTCGAATTCACTAGATGCTGTGAAGGAGAAAGACGGACAACCTTCTCCTGTGAGATTAACTGCCTGTGTAAATCTGCTGGAGGGTCAGCTATGACTTAGTTCTGACTGGATGGAACACAACAAGGACAATTCTGATTTATTAAGTGGGATTGCTGACAGTTGGAACCAGCTCAATGGCAGCAGTGGGTCTGGTCTTTTGACTTTGTGAATCTGCTTTCATATATATTGGAACAGTCTATCACAACTCTCTGCACAATGTCCAGAACAGAACTGTGCTGTAGATTTTTAGCCTAGAGTTTATCTAATTTACAGGCAACAAGGACTCCTCTTCCTTATTTCATTACAAGGCAGTAAGTGGTTAGATGAATTGCAGGGCAGGGATCCTTGTACACTCTTCATCTTGAGACTTCATAGAGTGTGACCAGCACTCAGATACCTCTGGGAGCAAAGGTCTTCTTGGCTTTTACTAAATACAAGTGCCTGTCATACGAAGCTGGCCATGTGTCTTCTGTTCTCCTAGCAAAAGAGGCAGTCAATTTGTTTGTTGGTGGGTGTCACTGAGTGAATCCTGATGTCAGCAACCCACGTGTTCTAGACTAGAACTGAGTCACAAGGTCCTCTTGGCTGCCACCTTTGCAGAGCTTCTGTCCAGGTCTTTTTCCTGCAGAGCCACCAAGTAGATCCAAAATGCCAACCTGGCCGTTAGGAGCTGACTGCTTCACCATTAAGCCAAGCCACCAGGACACCTGATGGATGTTTATTGCTTTTAAAGATCACCACTCAACAACACAAATCCATCAAGCATTTTGATTTCCCCCTTCCCCAAAGAAATCTTTCTGATATTAAAGCTTCACAAGTCCCACTGTAGATCTAACTAAGTCTTTTGTGGAACTCTTCCTCGTTATTTTTTAAATGAGCAACAGGAAGGAGCTGATTAGCGTCTAGGTGATCAAAGTTGGCTGTCATGGAAATCTCGACGACATCTGAGTCTCCACAGGTGTTGAACAATGGCAATGCTTTGGAGGTAATAAGGACTGTGTGCTGTACAGCGGAGCACTCTGGCTCCTGAGTACGCTGAACTCTGCTGCTGTCCACTGTCGGCTAAGTCTAGGGGACCTGGCTGGGTGGAAGGAAATCCAGTGGAAGGGCTTTCACCTTTCTACAGAGGGCTTCCTAAATTTACTGGAAAATTATCATTATGAACAAAATCACATGTGTTCTGAAGAAAGATGAGTCTTTGATGAAATTAGTTTAAGTCTGTTTATACTCAAAGAAGGAAAAAATTATTAGCACATTAAATTATTAAGTCATCTAGATTATTAATTGTGAAAATAATTTTTAATTATTAAATATATCTCTGTAACTTGATTAAATGTTTCATCCCAAGAAAGCACTGGCTGAGCATGGAGACCTGCTTTAAAAAAGCGAAACACACAAAAAACCATGGGCAATCAGACTTCTTCATGAAATTTAATTTAATAGTTATAAATCGTAACTACTGATAGACTAATGTAGACTACACTAAAGTGGGAAACTCTGATTGGCCTAGATAGAGTCCATTGGAGATATTACTGTCTAATTAATTAATGAAATTATTAATTGTTCTTTTATAAAATATTCACTAAAGCTTGGTTACTAACTGTGACTGAAAGAAACAAATGATGAACTGATATTTTTAAAAAGTGATGGATTTTTGATTCTAAAAATAGAAGAACTTTGACAAGGACCACCTCGTTAAACACCCTGCAGGGCAGTTCTACTATGTCCTGTTGGGCTTCTATGAGTTGAACTTGAGGGCTTTGAACAATGGAGCTTTGGGTCTTGATTTCAAGAACTTAACCCACCAACTAATATCAGTTGATGGAATATGCAGTTTTTGATATTCTGAATACAGTACACGTTGGTTTGAAACTATGGCTAATCTTACAGGTAATCAGATAGACTGGCACAGTGACTACTGCAAAGGGCTCGAGTGTGTCTTGTCTGAGAGAGTGAGGATGGCAAGCACGGGACAAGGTTCTGATCTGTTGTTTACAGGGTTACTACGAGTTGTACTTGATTTGAGGGCACCACCACCACCACCACCACCGCTAACAGGGGTAAGGAGCTAATCTTCACATTAGTCACAGTTCCGACTGCAACCTTGTGATATACATATGCTGAGAAAGTGAGCACAGATTATCCTGATTCTCTTTTCTGAAAAAAACAAACTTCATGTGACAGCTCTTCAAGGCACATTTATACAAACAAGGAAGCAGCAATAGAGAAACTGAGCCAAATGTGAACGTGTCATAGTGTGGTTTCGGTTTCTTTGTACAATAAATAGCACCTGGAAAGAAGTGTTTGGGATCAAAGGTATTCTAGCCATTGAAATATTATGTGTAGTTATAGTATTAAAAACTAGTGGGTGGCTATAATTTTACTTGCTAGTTATGTCTAATCATGATTGCTATTATTGCAACATCCAAGGCCTAGTTCCAGTAGGTTTGCTAATTTCTGATGATAAAAATGGAACTTCCCTATAACTTTCGGGTCTTTTCAACTTGTGATAACTTGTGTGTCTAGAGTACAAAAGAATCTGAATTATAATTAGCCTGCAGAAACCAAGCTACTGATGGAAAACATTTTGATGTGGATAGATGCATTCTTTTGATGATGTAATACAGTGTTTCCCCTCAAACTTGACTCCTCTCAAACTTTACTGCGTACCACAATGACCTGGAGGGTTTAATAAACACATACATAGACTGTGGACCTCAACCCGTGCATTTCCAATTCTGTAGGTTTGGGGAAGTGACTACGAATCTACATTTCCAATAAGTTATCAGGTGATGATAACTAGTGAAGTTAACTTGCACTAGGTCACCAATGATGCATTCAGAATGACTCTGTGTATAAGTAAGTGTGTGTGTCACATAGACACATAAATACCACTACTTGGTAAATGTTACCAAAGTGAAATTAAAGACCGTATGTTTAAAAGAACAGATACTCATTGTTTGTTAGGTGCCGTTTCGTTGAAACCAATTCCAGTGGGTTTTCAGAGGCTGTAAATTGCACAGAAAACAGAAAGAAATTGCCAGTCTTTTCTCCTGTGGAGCAGCTGGTGGATTTGAACCACTTGCCTTTGGGTTGGCAATGCAACTCCTTTATCACTGGGTCACCAGAGCTCCTGCCCACAGGTAGATTTTTGTTTCCAATTTTCTAAAAAAGTTACAATTAGAGGTGAATGTGCTGCCACTAGAATTGATGGCATGTGAAAAATTACTGTGAATAACTACATATATTTTTTAGAAGTCCCTACTCTCTAAACACAACACCTAGGCTATTACTTTTCTTTTGCGGAGTAGAAGTCAAAATGGCCTTTTTGAGCTGCTATGGCATCCACGTCAGGGGTTCTGAACAGTCGCTAATGCTCCAGTTGATCAGATCTTACACATATAACAGAGACTTTGATTCCTAAAGAACACGGGCAGTGACAATGTTCATTTTAGGGTAAAAGAAAAACCTGAGGCTTCCCTTGCCCTGTCAGTAAAAACAGTTCAAAAAGCCCTTCAGGCATAATTATTGTGGCCTATCACATTCAGGTATAAGCACTGTGTATTTACATATGTTATCTCAAAATCTGCTCACTTGCTAGTAAGACATTTATTTAGTAAGACAAAAATAGAAATTTATGGTTATTTAATAACCTAACTAAAAACGGCCGTAAGCATCAACCACACAGTCGACACTTGCTAAGTACAGTACTTACTTTCAGCCACAGCTTTTACAAACACAATTTCCTGGAGTGTCAATACCTTGCCATTACTCTTTAGTGCTTGGTGGGCAAGTCACACGACAGCACATTTTGTTTACCTTCACAATCTTGATGAGAGTCTTCAGTTGGTAAATATGAAGCTGGAGGTCTAATCTATCCGCCAACCACACGCAAATGACTTTCATGGAACTGTTGTACCATTGCTGGAGTGGAAGACGGGGCCAGAAGGGAGGAGAAAAAGAAAAAAAGAAAATAAGTGCTGTAGTATTCATTTAACAGATTCGGTAATGAGAGGGCAATGAAACGCTCCGAAATGACCACACATCAGCACTTGAAGTCAATAATGCTGTAATTTCCTGTCAACAGACGGCATGTTTTACTGCGAAATCTGCTAAGTTGACCTAGGCTGTTCTTGACATGAATTAACATTAGAGTCTTGCAGCTGTAACATATTCAGAGAAACAGTGTTTTTGCACTTTGCAGGCTAGTGACCTCCTTTGTAATTTGCAGGTAACAATGGGCACTAAATACATGTTACGGGACTGAATAGACTGCCAAACAGCAGGACAAAACAGGATAATTATTTTCCAAGCAAGATTTCCTATTAACCTGCATGTTATGTAAAAATCAGAGTAGATGCCTTATGCCATAAGGCCTTAGTTAGGACCTAGAAATAAGATTTCAAAGGAGCAGGGGGGGGGGGGGGGGAATCAAACCACCAAATAAAAAAGAAAATCTGACAGTTTACAAGAGAGTGACCCTCAATCAGAACTTTATGTACTATTGGTTGTTAAGTATTTGTTTGCCACGTTGTAAAACCATGCACTGATAAAGATTTATTGATACTGTGGGAAAGAATAGGATCAAAATTGGAGTCCTTGTGTCTTAGCAGAATCGCAGACCTGCTGTCAGCTGACCGACTCGTAAAAGAAAATGATCTGTTTTATTTTGCAGGTATTTTTTTTTAGGGTTCAAAGTTTTGAGCTGTTACTTATCACTTTCCTGAGGGAAAAGTTGATGTTCTTGTCTAGTATCATTTTAGGCACCGTGTCTGCAAGCATAGTAAAAGAAGCAATTGTGTCCCACTATTCTAAAAAAGGCTGTCTGCCACCAATGGTGGCATTTCAAGAGATTCAGTGATTATGTGCCAGAGTTAGATGTGGGCAACCTCATAACAATAATGCAACTTGTTCACACAGTAGTGGGAAATAACTAAGTCCAGAAAGCACTTAAGGAAACAAAAAAAAGAATATTCTAAAGAGAAGAGATCTTTGTGTGTCCTTCCTTTACACAAACACCGTGCCATTCCAGATCACATGTGTGTGCACTGTTCTTTAGGACTGAAGCACAGAGGGGTGGGGGGTGGGAAGGTGGTTTTTTCCTTCACGTAATAAAGCAGAAAATTTCACTTCCAAGAAAAATCTTTAGTGATGTAAATTGGCAATTCATTCTGGGTTTTTTAAAAAAAATCATTCTAACAATATATACCTAATGGGAAATAGTATTTTAAATAGAAATTAAAAAGAAATGGGTTTCCCACATCACTCTTATTTCTAGTAATTTATTAGTATACTGCACCTACACACGTAAACGGAGCTATCCTAAGGAAAAGGAATTACTGAACTGCAAAATACTAGTGATGAAAGGGATGGTGCAGGATCTGGCAGGGGTTGGTTCATTCTGTTGTATTTGCTGGCACTTAACAACAACAGAGCAATGGAGAATGAAAACATCAAGCTCTTAAAATGCTGGATAGACGGTGTTGTTTTAAAATCTGTTATGAACGCATTTCATTGTGCTCCTTCCTAAAGATTACTTGCTGCTGAATTTTTCAGGTATGTTACAAGTGTGAGAAATGGCAAGTTTTGGAAATTGAGACATCTACTAAAAACCAAAATTCATCAGTTCTGCCTCAGATGACATGCTAAGTCCTCAAATCCCTTATACTCAGTTTTCTTTCGGACATTACTTAAATGCTGTATTTCCTGACCTCAAATAATTTATAGTCTCAATCTTTGGAGTCCTATTTTAATATTGGTTAAAAACTCCCAGGAAATGGTGATTATGACTTAAGTTTGTTCAATTAAGACCACAGACCATGCTAGGTAACCAGAAAGCTAAAATACAGTTATAATGAATGTGATTTCACACGTCAGAGTCCTTTTGAAGAGGATAATGAATTTTGATTTTTGGGATAGGGCAGAAAAATATTCTAAATTGTACACAGTATATCACAGCCTACTAGCTATTTTGTCTGTAAAACTAAGAAGCGTATAGCAAAATATATATATTTGAGGGAAATGAAAACAATTTCTTAAAATTATGCTCTATTTTTTTGTTCTTAAAAATGTCCTTATGTAATTTAAAACTAAATTCATTTCCCCAGCATATAAAAATGATACTAAAGATCAAGAAGTAATAGGAGAATAGCAAAAAAGAACCCTGAAATGATTAGTAGCATACCTTCTTTAGTACAATGTCAAAATTAGACTGTTAGAGAAAACAATGTGGGCAGAAAACAATTTAAAGCATAGAAGAAGGACCATTAAATAAACGCTTAGGCAGTGTTACCAGCTTACTAGGAATGCAAACGCTTTCGTCAATAAGTAAAATGCTGTAAGGAAAAAAACACACACTATTCTGTAAGTATATATATATTTTTGAGGTGCTGAATTTCCAGCATTTCGAAGAATTATTTCAGTGAAATCAAACAAATAATTAAGGGAAGGCAGTCGCCTAGTTTTTGTCCACTCAGTCCATGCAAATGTTTATACTAAGAATGGGCTCAAAACAACAAACCCCCCCAAAAAACCCCTGCGAGGACTGACTGTTCCATCAATACCATGGAACTCACACATACCCCCAAACAGAAACCTAGCATTTTTCTATTTTTTAATGCTGGAGTTGATAGTGTCCTCTCAGGTGCTAGAATACGACAGTATTTCCATGAAGAGGAAAACCTCCCAAGGTAGGCTAGGTTTCACTCTCTCCCACCAGAGCCCAAGCAAGCAGCACATGAAAGGAGAGAACTGCAGTCAGTTCTGAAGCCTCACAAACCCCCTTCTCCTTTGGGGAAAGTTAATTTTCTTAATCAAGTGAGATGACTCTTTCCTCTCCTCTCAGGGGGAGGGGAGAGAAAGGGTGCTGTAGGGATGGCTTCCCATTTCACTCCTTGCTTTGGTCTATGCAGGAATAAAGCTGGATGTGTATGTGTGGAGTATATCTTTTTTTTTTCTTTCTCCTACATCAATCTATGACAGCAGCCTGCCACTTTAACAACAACAACAAAAAAAATACGTGTTTTTTTCTTTCTGTGGTTCATTCAGCTCCTGTAAGGGCATGCATTACTCACTTCATTTTCTTGAGATATCTCTTTTAAAGCAAAAAATAAAAGAGAGGCAAAGGCTCGGGTTGACTCTGCGAGACCCCTGTATTTATTCACACTTATTGTACATGACTGTAGGCTGGTAAATCATATTAGCGGCCCGTCTCCCCATCAAGCTGCTACTTGCTTTCCAGCCCGGGGAAGGTTCAACAAATCAACAGGAGCACGGAAAACAGAACATCAGTCTAATCTAGTGTTTAAGGTGAAGTTTTCAAACCCAATCTAAGAAGATCTTTAGAGCAAGCAACAAGCTGAAGGACTCAGAAGGTGGTATTGACAATGAAAGAGTGCTGAAATATTGAGAAGCGCAGCACTTGTGCATTTTTTAATAACAAGAGGGTCAACAAGGACACAGCTCCCTCAGTGCCAGGAGGTGCCACTGACTATGGAAATTGCCACGCCAGGGCTGGGAGTGCTTGCAGTTCATCAGTTTTCTTAAACACTCTGCACCCCCTTCGCAGACCTTTAGTCTTGAATTAACAAACCAAAGCAATGAAAGAGGGTGCAGTCTGAATGGCTGGCATTGATCCCCAACTGTGTCAGCACTGCTACAGACCCTGAAAAACTCTCCCCATTGTCAATAGAAATTGACAAACCTCCTCTCCTAAATAGTACAGCTGAGCCGGGCGGGATCCACACAGCTGTAAAGGGCTCTGCTCTCGGGGCTTGGAGCCTTAACAATGGAGCAGGCATGAGCTCTTTGTCCGGCCCAGACTCGGCAATTTTCTAACAAGGATTAAAGTTGTTTCTCCGCAGTGCTGGTGAAAAGAGATTTAGCAACATACCGGGCTTTCTTCGTGCAAGTTAAAGAGAAGTAGTTAAGGAATTTCATCATTCTGGCAACGAGTGGAAATACAAAACACATATATTAAATATGCAGAATTCCCTGTCTTGCCTCACTGGTAACATTTTGAGGATGGTTCAATTAAATATCACACTTACTGCCTGGAAACAAGCACTCCGTCATTATTTCGGGAGTTTTGTTTCAAGAAAAAGTCCAGCTGCTTGCCACATGGAATGAGGTCTCAATACATCCTAATGCACAAAGCCCTTAGACCCTCTGCAGTGGATATTCCGAATCTGAATCACAGGACCACATAGGGTTTATGTATCGCGGCTGCTTCAAGCAAACGGTTTCTAGCAGAATGCGGCTTCTGATGATGATGACAAGGCAAAAATAGCTGCTTTTGCTAGGGAACAAATTGGTCCTATATTTTCTACGTGAGTGTTTAGGGAACAAATTGGTCCTATATTTTCTACTTGAGTGTTTAACTTTTTATTATTCTGAACTGGTACAACTAGTTATATTTTCATTCACCAGATATATTTTCATTCTTCTCCAGCTACGTTTGTCCCAATAGGTGAACATTTAAAAGCCAAACCAGAAAACCTGCACTGTTTGGTGCACTCAGGCATCAAGTGGCTAAATTTCCACATGTATGCGAACGTACGTCTTCATTTATTTCAACAGGAGCCGTGTGTCTAATAAGAGTTGAGTCCTTAAAAAAATTTGCATGTTGGCAAATATGTACATTTTCAGAGTTTCACTTAATTGAATGAAACAACAGATTATCTTTTGCAAAACAGATGCTTTGCGATAGGTTTGGAAAACATAAGCTATTCTTCAGGATCCCTGGGAAGCTTTTGTTGTTATTAGGTACCGTGAAGTCAACTACAATTCATTACGACCCTCTAGACAAAGATCTGAACCTTTCGAGAGTAATAAAGTATTTATAAATATTAATGTCTAACAATTCACCAGTATATTAAAAAATAAACATATTTTATAAGAATGCCCCTTTTGTCAACATCTACTTA